GGTATTCCGATTTAGTTTATGTCGAAACTCGTATAATAATGCATATTAGTTGTTTTGAATGTGCTTTCACGTTGTTTTGTGTTTTGTTTACGATTAAATTAGTATGTTATTTTTATCCGGATTAAATTATTAGTGTCTAAAAAAATAGTTAAAAGTTGAGTTGTTAATAAAAATGTTCATAAATTTTTTTTACTGTTTTATATGTAATTTCGTGAATGTTATGTTATTAAAATATGTTTGTTGTTTTTATTTAGTTTAGATTATTTATTAGCTTAAAGACTAGTGCCCTTATAGCGTAGTAAAATATAGAGCCTTATAGCGTAGTAAAATATAGAGCCTTTTAGTGTAGTAAAATATAGAGCCTTTTAGCGTAGAATCTCTGTAGTTTAAGTATCTACTAACTACAAACTCTATCAAATTATATTTTACAAAAATAATTATTTAATTTATAGAACAAACACATAGAACTAACAAATTAATATATGATGTCCAATTAAATATCGAGCGTGGAACTCATAGATATATATGCTGTCCAATTAAAAATTAATTATTTAATTTATAAAACTAACAAAATTCTAAAAATATTGAAATTGACACACATAAGAATTCAGGATAGCTTGGTGTTACTTGACCTCATATATCGAGCCTGGAACCCATAGATATATACTCTGTCCAATTAAATAATTAAATATTAATTATTATAATACAAACAAAATTCTAAAAATATTGAAATTGACACACATAAGAATTCAGGATAGCTTGGTGTTACTTGACCTCATATATCGAGCCTGGAACCCATAGATATATACTCTGTCCAATTAAATAATTAAATATTAATTATTATAACACAAACAAAATTATGAAAAGTATTAAATTTGACACATATAAGAACTCAGGATAGCATGGTGCTACTGCGACTCAAATATCGAGCCTGGAACCCATAGATATATACTCTGTCCAATTAAAAATTAATTATTTAATTTATAAAACTAACAAAATTCTAAAAATACTGAAATTGACACACATAAGAATTCAGGATAGCTTGGTGCTACTGAGCCTCAAATATCGAGCCTGGAACCCATAGATATATACTCTGTCCAATTAAATAATTAATTATTAGTTATTATAACACAAACACATAATTAATATTGTTTAATTTACAGTAGACGACATGGACGTGTTGCCTGTACATCCTGGACCTTTCTCGGATGAGATATTAGTGTTACAGGGCGATCATAGGTCCGCTTACGTATGGGAGGGAGAGCTAGTGGAGAAGACTCTCGCGCCAGGAGAGTGCACGATGTGTGGGACTTTATGAGGGGCAGAGATTTCCATCCCCGTGTAGTCCAGCTCCTGCGTGATAGGGGCTTTTATAGGATTTTTCAGATTGGGCGGCTGCAACTCGACTGGTCTTTGATAACAGCCTTGATAGAGCGGTGGCGACCGGAGACGCACACTTTCCACCTGCCCATTAGCGAAGCCACCATCACGCTTCAGGATGTTCAGGTTTTATATGGGCTGCCTGCTGATGGACTGGCCGTTGCACTGCCTCAGTATATGAGATCTATGACGCGTGCCCAGTATTTGGACTTGCTGCAGCAGTTCACTGGTTTCAGGCCACAGGGTGAGGCTGCAGCTTCAGGGGGCGGTCGCATTTCTGTGACAGCTATTAGATAGCATTTGGAGGTATTGCACCCCGATATCACCGGCGAGATAGATGATCTACATATTCACAGGTACACGAGGTTGGCGTTGCTCCTTCTTTTTGGGGGTGTCTTGTTCCCGAACACTTCGGGAAATCTAGTGAGTATGAGATTTCTACATCATCTTCAGCAACTAGATGAGTAACCCCAGTACAACTGGGGTGCTGTTGTTCTCGCTTACCTGTACAGGAGTATGTGCCAGGCAAGCATGGGCACCCAGAGCGACGTATGTGGTTTTCTGCCGCTTCTACATGTGACAACATATTCGAATACTCTATTCATTACTTCCAATTCTATATAGTCAAAATGACTCTTAAACTTTACGTCAACCTTGTATGTTAGGTTTGGGCCTGGAAGCGGTTCCTGCCGTTACAGCCACCTCTACCACCATTACCTCTGGATGTAGCACCTCCGTTTCTCCCTCTAGCTAGGAGGTGGGTTCTCCGGCGTGGAAATTATCGAGCCATTTATGCTCATCATAATCTCCCCCTTGTCAAGGATGTGTTGGATATGCTGGAGGCCGCACAGGTAAATACGTACCTAAACTTGTTATAAATTCACTTGTGTTGCGCATACTCACTTTTATATTATTATTTGATAGTTCATCTGGACGCCATACAACGACGACTTGATAGCTGGCCTGCCCGATTATTGCTCGGCTGGCCGACTAATTTGGCGCACTTTCGTTCCGCTGATGTGCCTCGATATTGTGGAGCATCATGCCACAGAGCGGGTACTTTGACAGTTTGGCCGTCCGCAGACTATACCGAGGAGACCTACATGGGAGGCTTTACATTATCAGCGGGATGATCGTTTGAGGGTGGACGACGCATTTGTAGCATGGCTAGAGGCGCAAGTCCATACTTGGGACCAGCGAGAGGACCTGATTCTGCCCCCACCTTCACAAATCCAGGAGGCGACTATTCAGATGTATACGTCTTGGTACTGCGGTGTTACTCGACTGATGATCGGGAACCCCGTTCATCATGTTGGCGGTCGGTACAGGCCATATGCCGGGAGGCACTGGTATGTGTTTTTTGAAACCCATACATATAACAGTGATATAGTATTATGTAATTAATATTTTAAATGTTGTGCATGCAATTGGTCATCATTTATTCTACAAGTTGGGACTGCAGATGCATCAACATGCCGACAATCCTGCAGTCACTGAGTATGGCCGGCAGGTGATAGAGCTGGCTCTCCGGACACTACAACGAGCTAGAGAGGGCGAGAGGTTAGATCACGCTATTAATTATGTGCCGCCAGAGCACCACCATCGGGGTAGGCCTGTTGCACGCCCGAGGGGACGGGCACGAGCGAGGGCTACCGCACGAGGCAGGGTTACCCTATGGGGTCATGGGGGACGTCGAAGAGGTGGTCCCCAGCAAAGGGGAGTTGAGGCACCTGATGAGGATCTTGGAGATGATCAGCCGGGTTACATCCCTCAGCAAGACGAGCCTTCCAACAACATACCATCGTACAACCTTCAGTTGGAGCTGCCAGCATCGCAGGTGACCCCGTCAGATTTATTGTTGATCACGGGCACGAGCTTCACCGCAGATATAGAGTAGTTCTTTTCAGGACCATCGACCACAGCTGAGGATCGACCGACCCGAGACGTGGATGGTGGGCACAAGTTGAGTTTTGGCTCATCGTCGTTGGGTGCGGCAGATCTATCACATGCGCAGGTATGTTTGTATTACTATTAAGTTTTAATTTATTTTTTTCTCAGTGATTTGCCATAAATTAATTTTTTATTTTCTTATTAAGGCTTCATCCCAGCCTGTCACGGAGGTCACTTATGCGATGATGAGGACACTACGGATGCTTATATTCAGGAGCCCGACGAGATCATGGTAAGAAAATATTTTTGACTTAACATGTACATTACTAATATACATTTTCATATACTAAGCTTAGTAATTGTTTTGTAGGTTGTTGACGGACCGACAACCCTTTCTGCCGATCCTGCCAGCACTTCTGATGATCATGCTGGAGCGCATCCTCATATAAAGAGGCGATGTGATGAGGATGATTCTGATAGTGTACCCGGGCAACAAAGGATGCTCCTCAGGCCAACGACTGCATTGAAACACACAGGCTGTGGGACACATTGATTTTTTTTGTTTGTATTTTATGTAAATAATACATTATGTAAATAATAACAATAATTTTATTTTAACAACAATTTTATTTTAACACAATTTGAACAACAATTTTATTGTAACACTACAACACAAACACAAACATAACAAACCTAACATAACTTAAATTCAGTACAACTAATGAAAACACATGACATGAGAAACATAAAGATACACTACTATGCTCAACACGTACATGTCATTGTTTAGTCATGACCGCCTAGTATTTCTGCTCCAACCACTTAAATTGTCTTCCAGCTTATTTTTTTCTTCTTCCACCTCCTTGAGTTTCTCCTTTCAACTCCGCAACTTCTCGTTTGTATTGTAGTTCATATTCCCAATGCTTCAAACACAAAGAATGAAGATGCTGCAACTTTTCTTTGTACTATTCCTGCTAACAGGGTTCATCAATCCATACCTCAAAATTGCAAACAGGTTCGTCAGAAACCGTATAAAGCTTGTTCATACACGCCCAGTAATGGCGTTCAGCTTCTTCCCAATAGTCGTGCATCATGCATTTTTTGCCGCACTCGCACTTTGGGATATAAAGGGGTTCAGACATTTGTTAAAGCATAAAGAAAAACCTTGCTTTTATGGAAATATTTGCTATTGGTTATTGTTATGTGCAGAAAATAACTAGAATGCGCCCGTTATTTATAGGCAAGATAACACACAAAATGTAGTATTATACCGCGCTATACATATTTAATTTTTCTAAAACAAAACAACTTTTGCGCAGTCGGTTCAGCTTTTCAGACCGAAAAGACAACACACAAAATGTAGTATTGTATCGCGCTATACGTATTCAATTTTTCTGAAACGAAACAGCTTTTGCGCAGTCGGTCAGCTTTTCAGACCGACAAGACAACACATAAAACGTAGTATTGTACCACGCTATACATATTCAATTTTTTTGAAATGAAATAACTTTTGCGCAGTCGGTCAGCTTTTCAGAACAACAAAACAACACACAAAACGTAGTATTGTACCGCGCTATACATGTTGTGCCCCCTTTTTCTCGCGAAATCGGGTTTATGACATTTAGAGGGACAACTCATTCCCGTTGGGAACTGGGTTTGAAGAGTTGCCACCTAATGATTAGGGTGCATTAGGACACCAAGAGAGATTGATTTGAATAACCAGAGATAGGGTAAGGGCTTGAAATTATTCTAAGAGGAAGGTGTTAGGCACCTCTCAAGATCCACTAGTGTGGTTCCCGGCCAGACAATTATTGTGAATTTCGGTGCAATTAGCATATAAGCAAATAAGGCCCAAATAATAGGGAATTTAAACTTAAACACATAAGAGTTTGAATGAACAATTAAAGGACGAGTTTTGAAAAGAAGTTTGAAAATAAAAGGGAAAAGGGTCCTAGATTTATATTTAATATGGATCATCCCACACAATGCCCGGTAATCACTCCTCAATGAGGGGCTACACGTGATATTATCGCGTGGTCATCATATCCATATCTACCCTTCCCACTCCGTTAAGGTATTTAAAGCGCGAATTGATCATGATTACTTATTGCATGCTATTACCCGTCCCATTCCTATCAGTCCCAGAGGCATTTAGGACTACTAATCCTAAAAGGTAGAGATATTAGGCTTATTTGTAGTTCCAAAGGTAAAAACTCTAAAGCGACATACAAAACACGTATTGCAAATTGGGGGAAAGCACATAACAAGCAGAGGCTCAGATACACCTCCTTAAACAAAGAAACACGTAATTAGCATGACTTACACATACTATTTAGGTCTGATTCTAAGTATTAAAGACGAAGAAGTTGAACATTGAGGTAGACTGGTTATTTCATAACTCAGACAAGAAGTCCGTATTAGGCCTGCCTACTGGTTGTAATAATTAAGAGAAATAAATTCAGTTTATAATTATTAACCTAAGGCTTGCTTAAGTGTTAGACAAGGATCCTATAGGCATGGTATCTACTGGATTCAGAAAGCGATGAAATAGTAAGGCCTGAAATAAACTATTCGAATGCATACTTGTTAAACTTGCTAAGTGAGGGACTTAGATTATTAAAAGAGAGGAAAGATTCAACGAATTGATCATAAGTTCTACAACTGATAGTAACTATTATTACTGTTTTTTAGATCTATACTTGAGTGAGGCGGATCATATTCAATTAGGAATTCCTATAGGCATGCTTTCTATGCGTTGCTGATTTTAAACATTGTAGACATGGTGTAAAAATGCAGAAACCTTATAGACACAGTATCTAAATGCAGAAGACCTGTTTTAAACCTATAAGCATGGAATCTAGATGCAATTGAATATGCAGAATTAAACAGTCATATAGTCATGATTTCTATATGAAGTTGAATATGCAGAATTCAGAATGGACCTATAGGCATGATTTCTATATGCATTTGAATATGCAGAATTCAAAATACCTATAGACATGGTTTCTATATGAAAGTTGGATATGCAAGGATATGGTAGTCCTATAGTCATGATTTCTACCCTTTGCATACATAGTTACCCAGCTTTTTTCACTAACCATCCCTAAGTGTTTATTACAAATTATTACAACCCAGAATAAATAAAAATACATCAGAAACAAAAAATACAACCAAAGGAAGCCTGATTCTTGACTTCCTTTCTGAGTTATGAGATAGACCAACTCAAGAGACCATTGATCCAAAGCCTTTCTCCCATTTGAGTGTGTCAAAGTTCCCTAAGAGCCTCAATGGGACTCCGAGCAATACTCACACCCAAATGTATTATTAGAATGAGGACAAGTGCAATATGGAAGTGTCAACCCTCAAGTGTCCAAGTTCAGGGGGAGCTCAACGGGTCCCAAGGCAAG